CGAATAACTGCCTTCCTCGGGATCCTCTGGACCACTCGAGCCGCCAGGCTTTGGGCGCTTTTCGCACGGAGATTGTTTCACGTCCACCGGGTCGTCCCTAGGGGGGTTTTCCGTGACGAATCTCTATTCCAGACCCCCCGGACGAGGCCGCAAGGTCCCTTTGACGTTCGACGCTGTTCCGCGGGCTCTGTGACTTCCCCTCTTCTCCGGACAAAGTCCGCACCTCGCTTCTCCAAATTCCGATCAGATGCCGATCCAAAACTCTTCTCGGACGAGCTCGATATTGTCATCGCCTTCACCGGCGCGAAGACGTTCTCGGCCCCGTCGCCCTCGTCCGACGAGCTGGAGTTCACGACATGGGCCTGATCAGCGTCCCCCAACAGCGGGTTGCGCGGGCAGGGCTTTCCCCCACACCAAACGTCCTCTTCGTCGATATCATCAACTGGAACAGGGGTGTCCTCTCGCCCTCGGTTGACAGGGGTATCATCATATCCCGATGGCTCACCTGCTGGAGACGGTGTTCGTATATTGGAGAAGGGGTTATTCTTGATCAGTTTCTCCGTGGCCTTGTCATCCTCTTCTGCAGGTGATGTTGGTCTCTCAGGTGAGTTGATATTATGCAACACGGTTGCTCTTGTCTTTCGGATGCGTTGTGAGGTCGACTTTCTCGGTCCGTCGACTCTTTCCTCAAAGATTTCCACACCTTTGGGGCTGGTCCTCCCTCCCGTGTTCTTCTCCACGTTCACGGAGGTACTCGTACTTGCCCCATCTTTATCGACATGGCCGACTGTCCATCGCCCAGAGCGTTCGGCTGATAATCCATATTTATCCAACTTAGGCCCAACCAGGCCAACATCGTCAAGTAAGGTAGTTCTCACTGTTGGGGTCCATGTTAGCGGGTCAATAGACATCGTGGAATATAAAAAGGAATATGTGTATCCCGTTAAGCTGTGGGTTGGGAAAGTATACAGTATGAACACGCGCGCGCGGGGGCGGGCGCCGGCTTTTTTCCTCTCCGAACCACAAATAGCTGCAGACAGCTAAGCATGTGTCTGCGCATGTGGTTATATATACATCGACGGCGGCAGGGAACGCATGGTAACGGCTCACCTGGATGGAAACCTCCCAAGCTGACCGAACTCACCCCCCAGCGGATCAGCCCACCATGACACTCCAAGCCCCCAAGGGCCTGTGAACGCCCACGCGTCGACACGAGGCAACCCCAAGAAAAGACAGAGTGCCAATGCTCATCTCCGATCTCGCACCGCGTCGCCCGCCACTCCCGCAATCGCGACCAGGGCGCAACCGCTTCTGCTCCAGGCGCCCCCGTGGAATGACGATCCCCAGCCCCAACTGGCCATCGCTCGGACGTCCATTCCCTGTTGTTTTCGGTTTCGTGAGTGGTTTTTTCGCGAAATGATCAAGGATGTTCTTGGATGGTCCTCGCCGAAGGAAAAATCCACACGTCCGAGCGATGCCAAGCCAAGCAATCAAACGATACGTTTGGCGATCTGCCCCTTCCCTCAAGGAGGGCCGCCGACGTTGGGGCGAACGCGCGCCTCGACAAAAAAAAGGAGCGCAACCTGCCAGCACTCTCCCCCGGACAGGGGTCGGGGATATTCTTTCGCTGCGGAGTGTGCTCTTCCAGAGCCCCTCTCTTGGCCTTGTCGTGAGGCCCCTCCTTCTGCCTTCCCCCCTCTGTTAATTAAAGCTGTGCGCGGCCCGCTTAGCTTCGATCGGAAGAGGTGCGCTCTCGACCCGCGGATCAAAAAAAGTGTGCTTTTCCGGAGCAAGCCTGGAGTGTTGTAAGAGCGGTCCAGAGCGATCCCGAACGATGTCAAGATGTCAATTCAGCCCCACGGGGGGGTATGGCGACCCCAATCCCAAGCCTGTGGGCTTCCGTCTGGGCAACAATTTTGTCGAATGAATGTTGTCAGATGTTGGGCACCCATCTTCGATAGGGAAGCGTACGACCAGCCCCCCTGGGGTGTCTCCCCCGAATTCCCTCCTTTTTCTGAGCGGCGAGTTGTTGATAGTCTAGGCCTACCTGGCGGCATCAGACGCAGTGAAACAAATGCGAAACAAACACTAGAAGAGTTCTCGCCCCAATCGGTCAAAAAAGTCCTTAGAATCAGATCTACCCAATCGGCCACTGGGATCGAGACGGGGCCAAGTTACGCCCGTCATAGTTTCGTCACGAAGCCTGAAGGGCCCCACCAGCTGCCGCCAGAACGCCGCTAGAGAACAGCCCCAGCTCAACAGAAGAGTACATAAGCCTTGTCTCAATACTAATCATAATGCACATATGGCACATGGCCCCCCCGGATAAACAAAACTAATCATGTGTCAGCAAAAAAGCCGTAACTTCTGAGAGAGTGTCCGATAAGGTCGTCGTCGTCGTCCTCCTCCTCCTCTCCTCATTCTCCCTCCACCTTCCGAAGGACGACGACGAGTAATTGGGAAGAGAAGGTTGAGGACGAGGGCGAGAATGATGACGACGACTAGCAGGGTGAAAGTCGATGACCATTAGAACGTGTGTCAGGGCGAACGCGTGCGTGACCGTCCGCAGAAGCCCTTCCGTACGACGCAGGCAGTGCATCTAGGGCCGCCACAGGATGCGGGCGACCCCTGGAGCTGGACGGGGTAACCACACGTTGGACTGACACTTCTGCGTGGGCGGCTAGGCATGGGTCGTCTGCGCTGGCGAAGCGAGCTAAAATAAATGGGGACGCCAAGCAAGCAAGCAAGATGGCCAAGCATCCTGAAGGACGCGCTGGCTTGCAAGGACACTCATGGTTCCTGCCGTGATTCGCTGCGACAGACAATCGGCGCCAGCGCAGATTGGACTGAACAGCCCGAGAGGAGGAGGAGGAGGAGGAGGAGGAGGAGGAGGAGGAGGAGGATTGTAGCGAAATGGCCGGCATGCAAGAGCGGGAAAAAAGGGGACAAGGACGGGCGGCCGCAGAGGGGGGGGGGGGCGAGGCGAGGGCCACTGCGCTGGGCTAACACACGTCCTGAGGATCACTGAGAGTCGGAGAGCGACGACGACTACAACGAGGACGCGGGGCAGAGTGCGCTCCGACCAGAAGTCCGAGGCGCATCCCGTCGAGGCGACGAGGCCGCCCCTCCCCCTGGGCGAAAGAAAATGAAAACCACACTCCTCCTCCTCCTCCCCCTCTTCCTCGCCCGCCTCCTCCGCCTCCTCCTCCTCCTCCTCCTCCTCCTCCTCCTCCCCCTCCTCCTCCTCCTCCACCTTCAAGCCCTCTCCCCTCCCTCTGCTGACGACTGCCCAGGCCTCCGGCGGCGTCTTGATTTGCCCCATGAGAACTGCGTGTGCTCCACACTCGGGCCGGGCGACAGGGGCGGATAGCAAAGGGGGAGTTTGAGAATCAGCTCACGTAGCTGATTTTCCCGGCGCCTCCCGGCGCCGGGAGGCGCCCATGTATCGAGGAATGGGCACGGCGGCGAGGCCGAAACCAGCTGCATGCAGCAGATTTCGTAACCCCCATTTCCCTATCCACCCCTTTCGTTCGGCCCGACACACCACGCCCGATCGCCCCCGTACCCTCTGAGGGCCGGTCTGCCACGCCAGGGTCGGACCGAAGAACCTCGCCAGTCGGGAGCGGCCAAGAGGGGGGCGTCCAAGACGAGGGGGTGCAGATCATGACCGGCGGCATGTGCGCGGCCCAGCGGGGGGTCCAGGGACGTAATGAAATAAGAAGAGGCGCCATGAAATATGGGGAGACATCATGGCCCCCGCCATGATGTCCACCCCCTCCTGGTCATCACCCCCCTCTTTTCCGGCCCCGAGCCAGGATTGACCACATCACGACTCCAGAGTTCGGGGCGTATGGAGGCCTCCGAAGGCCCCACATCGGCTACGCCGTGCTGCCAGGCACTCGGTGGAGCGTCCTCGGGCTCTCGGGTGTGGAGGCGTGGGGCCGCTGGCGGCTCGTCGCTGCAAGTGTTTCTGTCGAGATTTTAGCGTTCTTACCTTTTCGAGTTTTCGCGGATCCAGGACGGCCTCAGAGGCCTCAAAAATCTCTCCAATACGGCCCAGGAGCACCAAGGAGCACCCAAGAGGGCCCCACGAGGGACCAAAGACGTTCAACACGTGTTCGTCATGGAAACTCATTGTGTGGCCGATGGTGAATCCGAAACCCACCGGAATCGATAGGCCGAGAGCGGGACAAAAGGCTATAGTGGCGGGAAGGCTTCCATGCTCCCCCTGCCATTCTCAAAAGGTCGCCCCCTCTCAGCCCCACAACCCTCACGGAAACTCTCTCCCAATTCGGGGGTCTCAGGAAGGCGGAGGGCTTCCATGCACCTAACTGCCATGCTCAAAAAGGTCGCCCCCTTCGGGCGGATGGGAATGTGGGGTGACCGAAATCGGGGGTGCAGAAAATGGCGGGCCGTTTTCTTCACCCATGTCGGGGCCATCCCTCATAACCACCCGCCGAGGGCTTCCATGCACCCAACTGCCCTACTCAAATGGTCGCCCCCTTTGGGCGCATGGGAATGTGGGGTGACCGAAATCGGGGGTGCAGAAAAGGGCGGGCCATTTTCTTCACCCTTGTAGGGGCCGTTCCCCATAACCACCCGCCCGACCCCTCGCCCCCCTACCCACGCTGCGCTGCGACTCTTTCCCAATGTGGGGCCCCTCGACGTCTCGACAACTCTCCCCAGGGTCAGGTTTGCGTCCTGGGCCGTCTGTCGACGACCCTGGAGCCCGCAAGCGGCCACCAGCGGCGAACAAAAATTGCGAGTGTTTGCTGGATTATGTCTGGACTCGCGTGAAAGGAAGCGCGAACCAGATCGCCACGATCAAGTTTCGGAGCGGACGTCTTGAATCGGCGATGGGCCCCCCCCCTCCCTGGTGCGCGGGGTGCGCCTGAGAGGTGCCCAAGGCGCCACGACGGGGGAGCCAGCGCCGACCCAAAACGGCCACGCGGATATCCAGAGGTTTACGGCCAAGTCGCTCTTTACCCCCTCGAGGGGGCCTGTCTCTGTTCGCGATGCCCTGGGCCATGTCGTTGTTGAAGCTCGAGCCGAAGCTCGACGCCGTGCCGGCGCGATCCCGCGCGCCGTCCCTCTCGCCGCGCCGCCGTGACACGCCCGTGCCGAGCTCCTGGCAAATCCGGGCCGGACGGGAGGGGGTCAGCAAAGGGGGGGGCGGCGAGTCGGCCGGGCGCCTCCAGGCGCCGGATGCGCCAAGGCATTGGGGAAGACGCCCAACGACGGGGCCGAAACCGGCTGCATTACGCAGCAGAATTTTGGCACCCGCCCCCCTTTTCCCGGGTTCCCCCCCGCTTCGTCCGACCCGACGGATCGGAGGGATAGGGAGGGCACGTCGACGCCACTCCGCCGACCCTTGCGAATGAGATTTCCCCCTTTTCAGGATCATCCCCCAGGGATTCAAGCCTGGAATTTGATCCCCCCCAGGCCCGGCACGACCCCCTGCCGAATTCATCCAAGGGGTTTCTGGCCTCCCCGCGAATCCCTTCCAGAACGCCCAGACAACCGAGGCTTTCCGAAAAAAAAATTCCCGATACGGTAGGGCCCCAAAACGGCCTCCAGGCAGCCCAAAATGCCTCCCCGAAAGAGCCCCGACAATGAGACATCGCCCAATACCCATCGGGAAGCATCAATGCTCAACATATTCGGTGTTGTGGCTTTGAATACGTCCAAAACGCTTCAAAAACGCTCCCACAAGGGCCCACGATGGCCCCCGAAAGCCTCGCCAGAGAAGCCTCCAAGACGGCCCCACAGGGCCCCAGGACGGTTCCCAAAAGAAAGCGCCGACGTGGAGACCGAACGGACATTTGAACCCGTCGGCCCCGAGACGCTCCCACGTTGCTCGAAAAAAACCACGAGGCCCCGCGGGGACCACGAAAAACCCAACAAAACCCCAAAATGCTGCCAGGACCCCCGAAGACCCTCCCAAGAAACACCAAAACTGGTTCCAACACGCACCCGGGACACCCCATCAGCCATCCGGGTAGCTTCAAGCCCACAACCCAGTTCGCGGCCCGCCACATTCCCCATCCTCCTATTTCCCCTCTGCGGCCCTGAACATTCGCGAACTGCCACGCGCGCCCCAGCGGATCCGGCGCGCGCGACATGCACTTCAGGGCGGTCCTCTGAGGCGAGCGTTCGAAATTCTGTCCAACGACGAACTGAAATTTCGGGAGGGGTCCTCTTGCAGGTGCGGAAGCACTCGTCCGCTTGCCAGCCGCATGGCCGGGATGGTTTCGCGACAAGCAGCTTCACGACAAGGAAGAGACGGATTCACGACAAGCGTACCCACGTTCGCCTCCCTCCTTCGCCGCCCACTTTCGCCGCCCACTTTCGCCACCCACTTTCGCCGCCCACTTTCGCCACCCATTCGTCGCCCACTTTCGCCGCCCACTTTGGCCACCCACTTTCGCCGCCCACTTTCGCCACCCACTTTCGCCGCCCACTTTCGCCGCCCACCTTCGCCGCCCACTTTCGCCACCCACGTTCGCCACCCAGGTTCGCCACCTTCTTTCGCCGCCCACTTTCGCCGCCCACTTTCGCCACCCACTTTCGCCGCCCACTTTCGCCACCCACTTTCGCCGCCCACTTTCGCCGCCCACGTTCGCCACCCACTTTCGCCGCCCACGCTCGCCACCCACATTCGCCGCTCACTTTCGCCACCCACTTTCGCCACCCAATTTCGCCGCCCACTTTCGCCACCCACTTTCGCCGCCCACGTTCGCCGCCCACTTTCGCCACCCACTTTCGCCGCCCACTTTCCGCGCCCATTTTCGCCGCCCACTTTCGCCCACTTTCGCCGCCACTTTCGCCACTTTCGCCGCCCACTTTCGCCGCCCACTTTCGCCGCCCACTTTCGCCGCCCACTTTCGCCGCCCACTTTCGCCGCCCACTTTTTCGCCGCCCACTTTCGCCGCCCACTTTTTTTCCGCCCACTTTCGCCGCCCACTTTCGCCGCCCACTTTCGCCGCCACCCACTTTCGCCGCCCACTTTCGCCGCCCACTTTCGCCCACACTTTCGCCGCCCACTTCGCCGCCCACTTTCGCCGCCCAACGGCGGCGAGCGAAATTCAACGAAAGTGGGCGGCGAAAGTGGGCGGCGAACGAAAGTGGGTGGCGAACGGAAGTGGGCGGCGAAAGTGGGCTGCGAAAGTGGGCGGCGAAAGTGGGCGGCGAAAGTGGGCGGCGAAAGGGGCGGCGAAAGAGGGCGGCGAACGTGGGCGAACAAAAGTGGGCGGCGAACGAAAGTGGGTGGCGAACGAAAGTGGGCGGCGAAGGTGGGCAGCGAAAGTGGGCGGCGAAAATGGGTGGCGAAAGAGGGCGGCGAAAGTGGGCGGCGAAAGTGGGCGGCCGCAAGTTTTGTTTATCTCTCCCTCTCTCTCTCTCTTTCCCTCTCTCCCTCTCCTTCTCTCTCTCTCTCTCTCTGTTTTTCTCTTTCTCTTTTTTTCGTTCTCCCTCTCTCTCTATCTGTTTTTTCTCTCCCTCTCAATCGTCTCTCGTCTCCCGTCTCTCGTCTCTCGTCTCGTCTCTCGTCTCTCGTCTCTCGTCTCTCGCCTCTTGTCTCTCGTGTTTCGCCTCTCGTCTCTCGTCTCTCGTCTCTCATATTTCGTTGTTCTCTCTCTCTCTCTCTTTTTCTCTCCCTCTCTTTCCATCTCTCTCTCTCTCTCGTTTTCTCTCTCTCTCTCTCTCTTTTTCCGCCTCCTTCCCGCGCCCCCCCCCGCCGCCCAGCCGGCCCGCCCTGCCCTCTCGAACGCCCCCCCCCCCCCCCATGCCCCCGGCGACCCGGGCCTCGGTCGCTACCTCGGCAGCCCGGGCGCTCGCCGCGAGTTGCGCCGCCTGGTCGCGCCCCCGCGCTGCCCCCTCGCGGCGCGCCGCCCCCGCGTTCAGTGACAGGCTTCGCCCTGCCCCAGCACGCGACCCGCTCAGCTGCCCCGAAGATGGGGGCCGCGAGACAACTGAAACTGGGCGCCCAATCTCGGCCCGACGGTTTCCACCGCCCGCCCCCGGGGAAGGCCCGAGAAACGAGGGGGAGCGGGCCCGAAGACACGGGGAGCGGGTCTGTAGAAAAGGGGGCGACTGGAAGGGCGGGGCAAGGGGGCGCGGGCGGGGCGAGGGGGGGAGCGTGGATGGAGGGTGGGAACGAGGAGCGCGCGGAAGACCTGGGGGAGGGGAACTGCGGCAGCAGGGGGGGGGGGGGAAAGGGCCCACTCGGCGGGGGATAAGCGCCCGCGTGGAGAAGTCGCCAACGAAAAGCACGCGTTCCTGACCCCCCCGCCCCTCCATCCATCTGCTCTTCCTCGTTCTCGGCATCTCGCCCCCTTCCCCTAGACCGCCTTGAATCGCGCTGGCATTGCCCGGCCCCTCCACATCGCGCCCCCCCATCGTCCCCGCCCCCCCGTCTGCGCCTCTCGCCCTCGCCGTTTCCCCGACTCCATTCCCATTCCGCCGTGCGCTCCCAATCTCCCCCCCTGCCCATAATCTCATTCCCCCTGGTCCGCAAGCTCCCGCCCCGGTACTTTCGCGCCCCTGCGGGACCCCTGGCTGACGCGGAAAACGCGGCAAGGATTCCGGGGGGCCCACGTTGACCAAGAATACTGGTTCTCGCCATCATCAGCAATCTTTAACGATCGCGGAAGATCTACGAACGACCCCGAAAGATCTACCCGACCCTGAAGGGGTCACTCAACCATCAGAATTCCGATTGCGCTAATCCTACAACGAGAGATATCGGCCAGGAAGAGGTCTACAAGGATCCGGTTTCGACGGCGACTACCCTTCGCGCCGAGCATGATCCCACCCTGCTCGCCCATGCGGACGCAATGCCCGCTCGCCCCCGCCCCCGACGCAGCCGCGCTCAGGCCTGTCGCGATGGCCGCCCGCGCACTCGCGAGGCGCAGCGCGAGATTGCGTGCCCCCCAGCCACTGCAGCCCCCTGGGCGCTCGACGCCGCGCCTGCGCCGACGCCCTCGACCCCCGCGAGCGACTCCCCGGACAGATGCCCCAGGGCGCCCTGCCGCAACATGTTCGCGGTTCGCGTCTACCACGCCCACCGACGACCCCACCATCGCGGCGGCACTCGGGACCCGCGCGTCCACGTCGCAAGCGGCCGCCCCCGCAGGATCTCGAGCCAGGTCGCCAGGCGTCGCGATCTGCTGCGCCATGACCTTGTCGAATGTCGCATCACGGGGCAGTGGCCGAACAATTCCCAGCGGCGCGCCGTCCGCGGGCAACTCTGTCGCCCTCTTTTCCATCGTTTCCACGTCGACGTTCGCGCAGGTCCCGCGACCGCAGTTCGTCATCGTCTGGGCACGGCGCCCGACGACCACGCGTCGAACGTTCGCGCGGCGAGCGAAACGCGGGAGGTCGTCCTGCGTCGCGGCGCGGTTGGTCGGCAGGAAAACTTGGACGACCGAGCCCAATTTCTTGCCCGCGCAAGGAAGCGCGGCCCCCCTTTCCTGCCGCCCCCCTCTTCGAGCTGCCGCAATTGCCTCAATACTCCTCGCCATTGAAACGTGAAGCTCGCGGCTTTCCCCCGCGCCGCCGGCCGCCCGCCGCGCACCCCCACGGCGCTATCCAGCAACAGCCACGCACGCTTCCCGCTTTCATCCCCGCTCTGGAACTGCATCTCAAGAAGGAAAAGATCAACGACGTGGCACTCGGGCTGCAGCACAGCAAAACAACATCGAATCATTTGCTATACTGCGCCGTGGGTCCGTCGGGATGTCGGCCGCTCGGCACCCCCATCGGCGTCGCCACCTCCACATTGCACCATGCCCATAGTGGCGCGCTGCATGCGGGCCACGCCGCACCCCTCTCTGCGCAGCCCCGCTCGCGTCACTGATATCCCGGGCAACGCGAGATTGGCACCTCGCCGACAGCCGTCGGAGGTGCCCCAAACCGATCATCAAAGTCCTTCCCTCCACCATGCGTCCCTCTCGAGGTCCAGCACGCCGTTGCCCGGTTCGCACTGGAACTCTCGCAGGTGCGCTTCCTCGCTGAAGCGCAACTCCACCTTCGGAATGGAGCACCCGCCAAAACTGCCCACCACTCTATGATCCCCCTGGGCTGCTTTGAACGGCTGTTCCCACGATTGTCGGTTCGCGCGCCTGCCTCGCACCCATGGGAATGTGGACGCGCGCGGAACAGATCGGGGACGCAATGTTCGTCCCCTCCGTTGCTTGCGCGTACCTTTTTCGATTTCTTTCTTCGCAGGGAGCACGCCGCCAGCGGCGCCCCACCCCGAACCTCGCGCGCCGCAATTTCGTGGTGCGCCGCCGCGACGCGGAGCACCTCATCCTCGTCCGACGGATGCAGCATGTCTGCGATGGGCAGCACCACGTCCTTGCTCCCCTCGCGCGCGTGCTCGCACAACGACGCCCGTTCGCAGCCCGCAAACGCCCAATGTGCCGACGGAACATCGGCGGCCATGCCCTCCGCTAGCGCCTCCGCCCATGGTCGTGAGGGCCCTGCCAAATCCGCTGGCACCATCGGGTGAGGACGCACCCGCGGGGAAGCATCCGCCACGAGACGCCCGCGGGCCGCGGCGGCCGCGCGCGCGCGGGGCGCGACGCCCCCGCCGCGGCGAGCGCTCTCGGCGGGCCTGGCGCCAGAGGCGAAACGGCTGGGGGCGCCGCCGCCATCGCCGTCGCTGTCGACGACGCCATCGCCAACGGCGCCAGGGTCGACCGCGATGGCCACGGGGGGGAGGGTTCGGAGGCAACTGCTGGGAGGTATTCGTCGGAGGGACCAAGGAAGATTAAGCCCTTTTCGGGGGGCTGTTACGCCGGAGTGGGCCTCGGACTTGCATGATTAAGCGGGATCAAGCGGGATTAAGCCAGATTCGCTGGATTTCGGACCAGGGCAAAATCAGAATTTGACCTTCTCCGAGTTGCATCCGAAGAAGGGGGACCAAGAAAAATGGCGGGAGACGCCAAAATCAAAATCCGCTGACCCTTTGTGGTGTTTCGCGCATGTGCGATCCTCCCCCAATATTTTTACGCTCCCCTCCACAAGCCACCAAACCCGAACTTCAATCCCCCCCCAGCCGAGGCAAACGCGGCACGGGAGTCTCGAAACCTCCCCGGCGACACAAGCAGGCCCCACAGCACCCAAAAAAGGGTTCCAGGAAACCTGCACAAACGGCACCCAAACATCGTCCAGCTGCATGCAAATGTCCGACTCGTCAGCCTTCACAGCGCTGAGGACTGATCCACAGGCCCCCGAGGACATGGGGTACGAGAACTGTTGCATCACAGCAGCAATGCGGCCCCTGACGTTCGTCCTGGGTTCGGTTTACTGACATGATGAATTTCGGAGTCTTTACGTGGGAAAAAAAACATACCCTCACTAATCTGGGCCCCTGGGGCCTCAGTGGGCCCTGGGGACCAAAATTATTGACATGATGGTTTGCGGGCCTCGGATGGGGAACGAATTCAAGTCCAAGAAATCGGCGGAAGTGGCTATAGGAATCAGCGCCTGCAAGGCGGACTTGGCCGCACGAAGCCCTCATAAGAGACCCAACCCCGAGAATCCGCGCGAGACGTGCAGGTCGGGGGGAAGCCCAGGTCAGACCGAGCGCACCTCCGCGGCGCCCGCGGGAAGTAGCAGCGCAGCGCAGCGCAGCGGAGAAACCCCAGGTAGTTACCCTGACGGAAAGCATCCAATTCCTTGATGCGCGCCTCCACTGTACAACAGGAGTCCCGGCGACCTCTCCCCCACGCACTGGGACTCTCGACTGGGCTACTCGGGCATACACGAGGGGGTCGCGTACATCCTCGACTGGGGTGCGTCCGAATAGTCCCCTGGTGGAGATCACCGGCCAAGTCCGCGGGGAAGGAAAAGGGGCTTCACACACGAGGACGCAGCAACAAAAGAAAGTGGCACTCGGAGGCCCAAGACGAGCGCAACCGTCCAAAAACTGGATCCCCTCTTCGAATAGGTGATCGATTACAGAATCAATTTACCTCAGAATGTGCTGTTCCGTCAAATCGAAGTGCGTAGAATGTTCATAGGAAATACTGAACAGTCTACGTATTGCTTGTAGCTTCGACTGAAACACCTTGGGGTGAACAAGTTCTGTAGTCGACCCCCTACTCGTCCTCCATGCTCTTCTTGGCCACCCCAGCAGAGGGGGGCGAGTCGGCGTGGACGAAAGGGGAGGTGGGGTGTCAGAAGATGGATCGCGAATCGGATGCAGGCGGCCAACTGTCCCGGCGCGTCCCGGCCCAGAAAGCGGCAAGGCATCGAGGACAGCACCCGGCGGCGTGACCGAAGCCAGCTGCACACAGCCGATTGTGCACCGCCCTCTTCCCAACCCCCGTTCCTCCCCTGAGACTTGGTGAACGTTTTTCTCATTCGGCGTGAGGACATGGGGCGGAAGGGGGGAGGTCTGGCTCAGGACCTCTGCTTAGTGCGACTGTTCGCAATAGTGCGTCCTATGGGGGACACCACCTGCTTGAAACAGGCGCCAAAAACAACCAAGATCTAGGGGCTTCTTCAGCGCCGCATCAATTTGTGATGGCCTTGGGGCCCGAGTGTGACCCCCAACGGCTGAACGGCTCTTCAACAAGAGACGTATCGACCCAAACCCCAGAATTCAACTCGTAGATTTACCATGGGATGGGACCGTCCATCCTCGATAGGGGTGAGTTCGAGTAGCCCTCTGGGGTATATGCCTAAGTCCCCTGTGTGACAAGTCGTCTGTCCTGCAAGCTGCCTGTTTCTCTTCCCGACGCGGGTCCGTCACCGCTTCGAATGCCTTCGACGTGGACTCGACATAGGTTCGGCGTGGATAGCTGGCACGATGGGACAGACGAGGTCACCCAGATATGCAACTAGAACCATCGCGCGCGCGAAGCGCGCGCCCAAATTCTAGCTAGCTTCTTGGGGCCTCCTCGGAGCATCCTGGACTGCTTCTTGAAGTCGTCATGGGACCTTCTTGGCATGTATTCGGGGGCCTCTTAGACAGAGTTTTGAAGACTTAGGTGCCATCTCGGGGCCTCTTGGAGCCTCTATTGGGCTTCTTGGGGGGCCTCTTGGGGCCTCTTGGGGGCCTCTTGGGGGCCTCTTGGGGGCTTCCTGGGGGCATCTTGGGGCCTCTTGGGGGCATCTAGGGGCGGAGAGGTTGATTTTTCAGTTCGCGTTCCCTCTCTTGGGCCCCTCTTGGGGCCTTCTTGGGACCCTCTTGCGCCGTCTGGGCGGCTCTGGGGCCGTCTCGGGGCTCTCTTGGGCCGTCTTGGGGCCCTCTTGGGCTGTCTTGGAGCGGTTTGGGGAGCCTCTTGGGCGGTGCTTCAGCGCCGGAAACACGAAACAACGATAACGCAAAAAAACATTGAAAAACAAATGAAAGTCAAGGATTCTGCCCTCTTGGGCGGCATCTTGAAGGCCTCTTGGGGCGTCTTGGGGGCCTCTGGGGCAATTTAAAACGCATCGTGCGTCACCAGAGACCCCTGGCCGGCGTCTGGGGTGTGTCTCGAGACCGCCTGGGGCCGCCGGGATTGCTGTCTGAGGGCTCCCCGGGGCGATTTTAAGCCTCCCAGAGGCGGACCCAGGCCCCGGTCCCCACATTTGCGGTTGAGGTTCCGGCCCTCGGCCCCCGAGCCCGGTGCGCCGATGCATGTACACATCGCAGGCGAGAAATTGCCCGCGATTTTTTGGGGAAAGAGTGAAGACCGTCGCCCGAAACATGGTGTACACACTTTGTGAAACGCCTGACGCTCTCATCCAGATACCCCGAAGAGAGTCCACTACAGCGTATGACTGGGTTGCAAGCCTAATATCTTGGCCGTGTTCCTGCCCACGATCCCATTTAGACGCCTGGAATGGCTACGAAACAAATTGGCACGATGCCCAACAACAACCGTTGACCAAAACCAACAGCGGCCGGTGATGGGCAGGCGGTCTTCCCTCTCAAACGGACAATGTCCGCGGCGTTGCCGACAGCGAGCCCAGTCCAAAATGCACAGGAACTGCTGCCGGTCTTGGTACCCATTCTTTCCGTGCCCTTTTCGATCCAATCGTACCGACCCCACACCCCCATCAAATGAGGACGAGCTCCTCCCGGTCGGAGGCGGAGTCCGCCGTGCTCGAGCGCGACCGCGCTGGCACCAGCCGCTGCCGGGCCCTCCTCGAGGGCTGGGAGGGGGGGGTGAACGACCGCGGCCCGCCTCCGCGGCTGGGAGGGCAAGACGAAGCCAGGACGAGCATAAAATCGGGCGAAGAAAATCGAGAATATGTGAAATGTCTCGGGCTCCGCAGCCTTCTGAGGGCGTTAAACGCTCTGGAACGGATTTGTTTCTCGTCCCAGCCTCGTCCGAGAGGGGGGGGAACGACTAGGGCAAACCGACCTGCTCGGGGCAGCTCCCTGGCGGTCGCAAGGCCGCTCACGGCGATAGAACAGAATAGAACATACATCCGAACAGCGCGCGAACCAACGAGAGCGACCGAATCCGACTCGCCTAGAAGCGTCCTGCAGGACGCAGCGACGCGGCGACGACACAGCAACGTCACGACAACCGGACCGAACTAACGCAACCGACTGCGACGCTGCCCGAGCCCCGAGCCGACTGAGTGGACACCCTCAGGTCGGGTGGTCGTCGTCATCGAGGGCTCCAAACTTCGCGCTTTGCGCTGCGCGAAACGCCAATAACTTCGCGCTCTCGGGCCGCCCCCAGGTGGAGAAGAGGAGGATGAGGAGGAATCGGAGCCGAGCCGCGAAGCGCGAAGGGCGAATAACTTCGCGCCCTCGAGGGCGCCCTGGGTCATCGCCGTTGTGTCCATCGAGGGCTGTGGATCGAGGTGCTCGATGCGGTTGGCCGCCCCCGGACGCAGCCGAGGGCCTCTGGGGGCCTGCCCTGACCCCAGAAGTCCAGCGGCCCGAACAGAACAGATACGGCGGCGGTGAAGGGGGCCCAGTGACACACAAATTATTCACTGCGTGGGGATCCCCACATGTGCATCTCCTTGCTGGCGCTCCCTTGGTGGTGGGACTCGGTGAGGACGAATCTGGATTTAAGTGTGACTGAGCTGCCTCTCTCTCTCTCTCTCTCTCTGCTCTCTCTGTCTCTCTCTCTCTCTCTGCCCTCTCTCTGTCTCTGCCTCTCTTTCCCTGCTCTCTCTCTCTCTGCCTCTCTCTCTGCTCTCTCTCTCTCTCTGCCTCTCTCTCTGTGCCTCTCTCTCTCTGCCTCTATCTCTGCTCTCTCTCTCTCTCTCTCTCTCCTCTCTCTCTTCTCTCTATTCTCTCTCTGCTCTCTCCTCTCTCTCTCACTCTCCCTCTCTCTCTCTCTCTCTCGCTCTCTCTCTTCTCTTATCTTCTCTTCTCTTCTCTCTCTCTCTCTCTCTCTCTCTCTCTTTCTCTCTCTCGATCTGTCTCTCTCTCTCTCTTCCCTCGCTCTCTCTCTCTCTCTCTCTCTCTCTCTCTCTCTCTCTCTTTCGCTCTCTCGCTCTCTCTTGCTCTCTCTCGCTCTCTGTCGCTCTCTCTCGCTCTCTCTCTCTTTCTCTCGCTCTCACTCGCTCTCTCTCGCTCTCTCTCGCTCTCCCTCGCTCTCTCCCGCTCTCTCTCTCTCTCTCTCTCTCTCTCTCTGCTCTCTCTCTCTCTCTCTCTCGTCTCTCGCTCTCTCTTCTCTCTCTCTCTCTCTTTCTCTCTCTCTTCGCTTCTCTTCTCTCTCTCTCTCTCTTCTCTCTCTCTCTCTCCCCCCCCCTCTCTCTCCACTTTCTCTCTCTCTCTCTCTCCTCTCTCTTCTCTCTCTATCTCTCTCTCTCTCTTCTCTCTTCTCTCTCTCTCTCTCTCTCTCTTCTCTCTTCTCTCTTTCTCTCGCCTGTCTCCTCTCTCAACTCCCCCTCTCTCTCTCTCTCCGCTCTCTCTCTCTCTCTCTCCTCTCCCTCTCTCTCGCTTCCTCTCTCTCTCTCTCTTGCTCTCTCTCTCTCTCTTTCTCTCCTTCTCTCTCTCTCTATCTTCCTCTCTCTCTCTCTCTCTTCCTCGCTCTCTCTCTCTCTCGCTCGCTCGCTCGCTCGCTCTCTCTCTCTCTCTCTCTCTCGCGCTCGCGCTCGCGCTCGCGCTCGCGCTCGCGCTCGCGTTCGCGCGCTCTCTCTCTCTCTCTCTCTTTCTCGCTCTCTCCCGCTCTCTCTCTCTCTCTCTCTCTTTCTCTCTCTCTCTCTCTCTCTCTCTCCTCTCTGCTCTCTTCGCTACTGGCTTCTGACGGAGTCTGGGTTAGGTGAGCCTGAGTGTGGGTGAGTCTGAGTATGGGTACGTCTGTGTGTGCCTGACTCTGAAGAAATGAATCTGAGTGTGAGTGAGCTTGTGTATGAGTGAGTCTGGGTGCGAGTCTGAATCCCAATGGTGCCCCTGGCAGTGTCTGGCGACTAGGAGGCCCGGGTCGACTCCTCTTTGGGAAGCCAAAATGCTGCCCCTGGCAGCGTTTGGTGACTATGAAGCCCCTGGTGGACCCCCCCTGGGGCTCCCAAATGATGCCCCTGGCAGCGTTTTGTGACCATGAGGCTCTCAAGAGAGACATGTTGGGGACGCCAAACGGCAATTCTAGCTGAGGCGTCCCACCAAAATCGGCGCGAACGGGCTCGTGAGATCAGCCAGGGTGGCTCCCCCTTGGGGCTCCCAAATGATGCCCCTGGCAGCGTTTTGTGACCATGAGGCTCTCAAGAGATACATGTTGGGGAGGCCAAACGGCAATTCTAGCTGAGACGTCCCACCAAAATCGGCGCGAACGGGCTCGTGAGATCAGCCAGGGTGGCTCCCCCTTGGGGCTCCCAAATGATGCCCCTGGCAGCGTTTTGTGACCATGAGGCTCTCAAGAGATACATGTTGGGGAGGCCAAACGGCAATTTTAGCTGAGACGTCCCACCAAAATCGGCGCGAACGGGCTCGTGAGATCAGCCAGGGTGGCTCCCCCTTGGGGCTCCCAAATGATGCCCCTGGCAGCGTTTTGTGACCATGAGGCTCTCAAGAGAGACATGTTGGGGAGGCCAAACGGCAATTTTAGCTGAGACGTCCCACCAAAATCGGCGCGAACGGGCTCGTGAGATCAGCCAGGGTGGCTCCCCCTTGGGGCTCCCAAATGATGCCCCTGGCAGCGTTTTGTGACCATGAGGCTCTCAAGAGAGACATGTTGGGGAGGCCAAACGGCAATTTTAGCTGAGACGTCCCACCAAAATCGGCGCGAACGGGCTCGTGAGATCAGCCAGGGTGGCTCCCCCTTGGGGCTCCCAAATGATGCCCCTGGCAGCGTTTTGTGACCATGAGGCTCTCAAGAGAGACATGTTGGGGAGGCCAAACGGCAATTTTAGCTGAGACGTCCCACCAAAATCGGCGCGAACGGGCTCGTGAGATCAGCCAGGGTGGCTCCCCCTTGGGGCCCCCAAATGATGCCCCTGGCAGCGTCTTGTGATCATGAGAGAGTGTGAGTGTGAGTGAATGTGACTGTGAGTGAGTCTGACTGAGAGTGAGTCTCATCTTATCTTATCGAGTCCTATCTTATCTTACCTTGATTACCCTCTATCTTATCTTATGTTGAAATCTCTTATCTTGTCTTAGCTTATCTTATATCAACTCAACTTATCGCATCATATCTTGTCTTATCTTATTACTCCATAGGCTGTCTTATCGTATATATTATCCTACCTTGTCATATATCTTATATTACCTTATCATATATTGTGCTATATTATCTTATCTTGTAATATAGTATCTTGTCTTGTCTTATCTGGTGATTATCATTGGGAGGAGGGAGGCGCGAGCGGGAGGAAGGAGGAAGGAGTCCGCGCGTGGGAGGCGTCAGAGTAATAACAAGAACCCCAATCCTTAGGATATGGGGAATAAATATTTCCCCATACCAAATTACAGGAGACATGTTTTGCCCAGCGACACACACACATACAAATTACAGGAGTCCCTATATTGTCCCATACCATATTTTCTGGGTTGTCGTCTTCCTCCCGACCTCCCATGTTTTCCTATCTTGCCGTGCGAGTCGACAGTGATCTTTGTCTGTGTGTGAGTGTGAGTGTGAGTGTGAGTGTGTGAGTGTGTGTGTGTGTGCGTGCGTGCGTGCATGCGTGCGCGCGCGTGTGCAACTGTGCGTGTGTGCGTGTGTGTAACTGTGCGTGTGTGCGTGTGTGCGTGTGTGCGTGTGAACGTGTAGGCGTGTGCGTGTGTGCGTGTGTGCATGTGTGCGTGTGCGCGTGTGTGCGCTTGGGCGTGCGCGCGTGTGTGCGTGTGTGCGTGTGTACGTGTGCGTGCGTGCGTACGCGCGCGCGTGCTCGCGAGCGCGTGTGCGCGTGTGTGCGCGTGTGCTCGTGCGCGCGTGCGCGCGTGCGCGCGTACGCGCGTGCGCGTGAACGTGTGCGTGTGCATGCGCGTGAGTGTGTGCGTGCCCGTGTGCGTGTGCGTATGCGTGTGCGTGTGCGTGAGCGTGTGCGTTTGCGTGCGCGTGTGCGTGTGCGTCTGCGTGTGCGCATGTGTGTGTGTGTGTGCGTGTGCGTGCACGTGCACGTGTGCGTGTGCGTGCGCGCGCGCGTGTGCGTGTGCGTGTGCGTGTGCTTGTGCGTGTGCGTGTGCGTGTGCGTGCGCGTGTGCGTGAGCGTGTGTGCGTGCGTGCGTGCGTGCGTGTGCGTGTGCGTGTGCGTTTGCGTGTGCGTGTGCGTGTGCGTGTGCGCGTGCGCGTGCGTGCGTGCGCGTACGTGTGCGTGTGCGTATGCGTATGCGTGTGCGTGTGCGTGTGCGTGTGCGTGTGCGTGTGCGAGTGCGCGTGCGTGCGTGCGTGCGTGTGCGTGTTTGCGTGAGTGCGTTCGCGTGCGTGCGTGCCTGTGTAGGTGTGTAGGTGTGTAGGTGTGTGTAGGTGTGTAGGTGTGCATGAGTGCAGGTGCGTATGTGTGTAGATGTGCGTGTCTGTGTGTGTGTGTGTGTGTGTGTTTTTCCCTCCTGAGTCTCGCGGTTCCAAGCCGCCGCACGCCACATCCTAGCCCTGGGGCAATCCAGAAACGAGTCCGGGAGAGACTGACGTCCCAAGCGAAGGGGTCCATGGGGCCTGGGGGCACACGCCCCGACAGAAACAAGCGCGAGGCCAAAGAGAGAACACCATCCCCAGAAGGGAGAGGGGGTCGGGATCGTTTCACAGACCCCTATCCTTATGGGCGTGGCCTGGACCCAACTGGTCGATCTGCCTCCCTAGATGGGAATATAGGCTGTTTGCTTCGGGTTGACCACACCCAGGCGTTGATTGGGATGGACCATGGCATGGTACATTGCATCTGGCACGAGCGCGCACGCCACTTCGTCGCGCGTGCTGGCATTAGCACATGAGCAGAACTATGCGTTCACCGATATCGGTCATTTGCAAAATATGTCCAGCAATTGCCGGAACTCTGAACTGGTCACCGCGCGGTTGTCGAACAGGCCGGCCGAATCTTCGGGTGCCAATGGCGATCTTGGTCACCAAATGTTTTCCAGATGCATGCCGACAATTTTGAGAATTTCTTCTGCCATTCCTTGTGAACACGCCATGTGAATGAGCCTCCCTCGCTCTGACGCACGTGCTGTTTCATCGCGGCGCGCGCGTGTATGGCACGCTGTCGATTGCCTCCGCCTAGGCCCTTCAAGGGCTCGCCTTCCAGCGCACGGGCTTGACCTTGACCCACTTCGGGTTTCGAGGGGAATATCCCCAACTGGGGTGCTGACGTGGTGGGGGTCTGGATAGGAATGGCGATGGGGATAGCGGTCGGCCGATGACGATGGCGATGACGATGCTGAGCGATGGCGATGGCGATGCGATGCTGAGCGTGGCCGCCGATCCCCTCTCTCCTGGAAACGGCCCGTTGCTTCCGGGCATCGGGCGGTCAACAAAACGGCCCGGGGTGAAAATCCGGCCATCTGGGAACCCCAGAGTCTGGGGCCCGCTCTTCCTCGAGACCCCTCATCCTCACAGCGATCCCCTCCATCCCTTGAGGTTGGCACGACCGGGATGGATACGGAAAAACTGAACACGATGCCCCAAGACCCACGTGCTGCCCAAAACGGGCGACCTGTTACCTCATGGACAACGCCCGCGGCGACACCGAAAGCGAGTCCTGTTCCGCATGGGCAGGAGCTGCGGCCGGCCTCGGGCCCGCCGTTCTCGCACCCGTCTCGATCGTGCCAACTCACCTCCAGTCGTGTCGGGTGAGAAGGGGAGTCAACCCGTACAATAAGGACGCACGAGAAGGATGCAGGGGCCTTGGAAGGCCATGTCGCCACTTTGCGGGCGGGGCACGGCCCGCGGAAGCGATTTAAGCGCGGGCCGATGGGGAAGGATGCAAAGGTCAATTTGGAAACTTGCTCATTCTTATTATGCGGGTTGACTGTACCAAGAGGGGGGGGGCTAGCAGTTCGCAACTCAGCTCCCGAACTCCGTGGCGCCTTCCGGCGGCGGAGGCGCCAATGTAGCGAGGAAGGCGCTTGGCGGCGGGGCCGAGACCATGCATGCAGCAGCGTTCGTAACCCCCCCTTTCCCTATGCCCCCCGAACCTTCATCCGACACGAGATAACCCACAGTTCCCTTCTGAGCCCGTTCGGCCGCCGAACTGAGGGGCAACGATAGGGGGGACTGGCATAGGGGGGCATCGACCTGGAATCGGCGATACATCGCCGATAGATCGGCGATGGGCTTCCGATAGTCAATCCGCACCTTCCTGGGCAGCTTGGGGATATCGGGACCCTATCGGCGATCAATCACCTCCTAGGCCCATCCCCCCCTATCGTTGCTCCCGACGAGCGTGCTCGATCGCGAAACCACCCGGCGTCCGACCGGGCTCAGGCAAGAGGAGCCGGGGGAAAGGAGCGAGCCTGTGCCTCGCCAGTGGAGCAGGCAAGCAGCGCTCAGCTCGTTGACATTTGAGCGACGATCAAAGACGGGTCTCGGGCCGGGCGAAAGGGAGGGATAGCAAAGGTGGGGTTTGATAATCAGCTCACGTAGCTGATTTTCCCAGCGCTTCCCGTCGCTGGGAGGCGCCCATGTATCGAGGAATGGGCCCTTGGGGCTGAAAATGCAGCAGATTTCGTACCCCCCCCTTCCCTATCCCCCCCTTTCGTCCGGCCCGAGGATCTCACGCGAGATCACGCAGCGACCCTACGCCGCAGCCTACGCGGGCCGCCAGCGCGGCACGCTGCATTGGCAGCGAGGGCTCTTACGCGCGACCCTACGCGGGCAGCTTGCGCGCCAGTGTCGGCGCCGACGACCTCGTGTTTGGGCGTAGCCCATTTGGGAAAACCAATTCCACTTTATACACGCACGTCGATGACTCGGAAAGATATTTCGAACCCCCTCCAACAGGGGGTAATTAATGATTTCTTCGGCGGCCTCACTGAAGGACCAAGGGGTCCCAGGAGGAGGAGGAAGAGGGTTTAGGACCAGTCCATACTCTGCCGACGGCGGAGTGGGGGAAAACAAAACTAAAGACCTTTAGCTGCTAGTCGTGCCCTTCCATTGAGCAGGGACCGATCGTCCCGGCATTCCTACAGGCCTACTACGACATGTTCTTAGAACCCACACATGTGTCTAAGAACACAACAATGTTCTTAGGACACTAGCCCGACGTATTCAAACAAAACAAACGCAGCCAGAACCGTTCTAAGAACATTTCGTGCAGACCACAGAAAGGTTCTCGGAGCAGTCTTTGGGGGGCCCGCAGGCGAGCCGGGACGCTTCGCCACTGCTTGTTTCCAAGCATCGGCTATACGCAAGAGCGACCCTGGGTAAGAGTGACCGATGGTGCGCGACTTTTGGGGGGGCCGCGGGGGGACCCAACCTGGGCGCGCAAGCAGCTGCTGCTGCTGCTTCGTCTTCGGCCATCTGGGGACCCATCTGTGCCCGCACCAAAGGTCACTCCGGCGAGAGGTCACTCTTACGCCTAGTCGAAACCAGGGCAGCCCTGGGCACATTCGGCCGGCCCGGTCGCCCGTGGGTGCCGAGGATGCCCGCCGGGCTCGGGCCGAGGGGCGGCGTGCCGGGGCCGTCGGGGCTCGCGGCCCGCGGGCGCGAGGCCGCTGCGACCTGGGACGGGCGGCGCCCGGGCGCGGAGAGCCAGGCGAGCACGCGGGACGACGACGGCGATGGCCCGACGTCGGCGCCGGGCTGGTCGCGCGGGCTGGGGGCGGCTTGCTCGGCTTGCTGGCTTTCAGCGGTATTCACGTTGCTTGGGTATTTTGACTTATCCTTCTTAGGCCCCCCTTCTTGGCCATCACTAGCCCCCCTCAGCCCCTCCTTCTCCTCCTCTGGATCATCATCATCATCGGCATCATCGGCTGGGGGCGGCTTGCTCGGGCGCCGAAGATCGAGCGAGCATCTGGGTCGACGACAGCGAGAGCCCGGCGCCCCCTTTGGCCAGGCTGGTCGCGCGGGCCAGGAGGAGGATTGCTCGGGCGGCGAGGATCAGACGAGATCTCGGGACGACGACAATGATAACCCGACGCCCACTTTGGCCAGGACAGTCGCGCGGGCTGGAGCCGGGTTACTTGGGCGTCGAAGATCAAGGGGCACTCGGAAGCACAACAAATGTACCCGACGCCAGCTTTGGCCAGGCCAGTTGCGCGGGCTGGAGGTGGATTGAATTGCTTGGGCGACGAGGAGCAAGCGAGCCCTCGGGACGACGGCGACAACCCGATTGTCACGTTGGCCAGGCCATGGGGCGGGCCAGAGGTTGATTGCTTGGGCGAGGAAGATCAAAGGAAACTCGGAACGACAACCACGATAACCGGACGCACACCTTGGCCAGGACAGCTGCACGGGCCCGAGATTGATTGCTTGGGCGACGAAGATCAAGGGGCACTCGGGGACGCCAGGACGACAACGAAAAGCCGACGCTCACTTTGGCCAGTCCAGTGGCGCGGACAAGAAATGGATTGCTTGGGCGACGAAGATCAAAGGCACTCGGGACGACGACAGCGATAATCCGGCAACGTTTTTGGCCAGGCTGGCCGCGTGGGCCCATTGCCAAGGACCGGCGCATGCATTCTAAACGTGGCCACGAAAAAATGTGTTAATACTGTGGTCTCGTTGATCTCATCCCGAGATGATGTGTGACAGTCCCGGGACACGGCCCCGAAACCCAAAGACGCAAGGAAGTCTGGGAGGACCTCGACCCTCGATGCCCGAAACCTGGCAACGACAACGACAACGGCTGAGCCAGTCCTAGGGCGTACGAGGACCATAATTTTGAGCCACACTCAGCCGTGGCAACGAGTAGCGCCCCAGGGAGGCTCCGCAAAAATGCCAAAGCACGTCTCAGAAACTTCAACCACCGAACCTCGGTACTTACTCGATCGCGGAACCTCGACCACGAGGACGAGGACGAGGACGTCGACGACGACGACGACGACGACGACAACGACGACGACGACGGCGACGGCGACAGCGACGACGAGGTCGACGGCGACGGCGACGGCGACGGCGACGGCGACGGCAACAGCGACAGCGGCGGCGGCGGCGGCGGCGGCGGCGGCGACGACGACGACGACGACGACGACGACGGCGACCACTGGCGCTGGCGGCGACAACTGGCGGCGACGACGACGGCGACGGCGACGGCGACGGCGACGGCGACGACGACGACGACGACGACGACGACAACGACGACGGCGACGGCGACGGCGACGGCGACGACGACGACGGCGACGGCGACGGCGACGGCGACGGACGACGGCGGCGGCGGCGGACGAGGGCGGCGGCGGCGGCGGCGGCGACAGCCACCGGCGGCGGCGCTGGCGGCGACCACTGGCGACGGAGGGCCCCCTGCCGCAGTCGGCGATGGCGGCAGCGCCGAGCGGCGGCCGGCCCCGCTGGACCTCTGGCGCCGGGGCCTCCAGGACCTCGTAGGAGCCTGGGCTCTCGAGGTTCCGGGCGGGGTCCTCCCCGGCCGGCCGCCGCAGCCGCCGGGCTGCTGTGTGGCAGTCGCCGCCGTCGTCGTCGGCCGAGTCGTCTGCGTCTGCGCCCTCATCGCCAGGGGAGGGGGGAAGAGGGATGAGGGTTTCCGGCTGCACTGTCACGCTGGGAGCATGGGCAGCGCTAGTGAAAGAAGGCAGACCTGTTTGACTCCAGGAACGTCTAGGTGAACGCGAAGTGCTAGAGGAGCGACCATGCAAGGACCCAAGGAACAGCGATCCCCTCCCGAATTCAAACTGCTCCACATTTCAGCGTCTTGACTGTGCCTCGGGCTCCGAGATAGGCATGCCTCACGGGAAGCGGAGCGTGCCCGCATGCGCTTCCGCGCTGCACGCCATGCAAAGCATCCAGAGGTGGGAAGCCCAGCCTCTGCAAAGTGGAGCCCAGAGAAGACCCACGGCACAAAGGATGTGGGAGGAGGTGATAGGGAGGGAGGGGGGTGACGGAGGCGGAAAGGAGAGAGAGAAAGAGAGAGAGAGAAAGAGAAAGAAGAAAAAGAAAGAGAGAGAGAGACAACAAACAAGCAACAACCAAAAAAGGAAAGAGATGGGGGCGCCGCCGGCCCAGCCGCGGCCGCGCTAACAGCCGCAGCCGCGCCCGGTACGGCGAGTGACCCGCCTTGCTTCGAGGGCGCGCGCGCGCGCCTGGAAACTGTCTGTGGCGGGTGGGTGGGCGGGCGGGTGACTGGTGGGGTGGGGCGTCTCTCCTCAAAATGTCTGTTCGTATCTCCTTCTCCTTCTCCTTCCCTCTCTCTCTCTCTCTCTCTTTGTCTCTCTGCTGCATGTCTATCTCCATGTCGGCCCGCCGATCTGTCCGTCCGCCTGCTCGTCTGCCCGCCTGCATGTCCGTCTGCGTGTGTGTCTGTGCGTGCGTGCCTGCTGTGGTGCATGCGCGGCTCCATGTACCACGCGACCCGATGCTCGAGGAGGCCTCGTCCGTGACCTCCCCCTGCGACCTCGACGAAGGCTGAGGTCGGCCATGTCCCCCTTCCGGCAGATCTTGCGCGAAAAACTGATGATACCCAACCAATATCCAACACACAGTCAAACAATAGTCCAAGAATCGTCCCCAGATTTTGTTGATTATTTTTGACTGTTCCTCCTGTGGAGGGACAGGCCCGGCTTGAACGAGAGCGCGGACTGCATGACTTCCCCCGCGCAGCACCCGAGCTGCCCCGCACGGACGGGGCATGCCGACCGGGGACCGGGCCACACCGAGGGCACGTGCCCACACGCCGACCGCCACCCCTGCCCGCACCCGCTGCCTGCTGGCCACGGGGGCCCCGGCCTCGGGGCCTGGCACGTGCCGCCCGGAAGATGGGGGGGAGCACACCGTATCGACTGCTCTGCCCCCGGGCAGCCACGGCACCGAGCTCAGAAAAGCACCCGACAGCCGAGGACCGAGGAGGGCGAGGGGTGGAACTGAGGGAGGGGGGGGGCGGGGCGTGAAAGAAGGGAGGCCGTCCTTTGAGCAGGGACCGACCGTCCCGGCATTCCTATAGTCCTACCACGAAATGTACTTAGAACCCCAAAATGTTCTTAGAACAAAAACAATGTTCTTAGAACATAAACCCGAAGTGATAAAACAAGACAGACTCGGCCAGAAATGTTCTAAGAACATCTCGTGCATACCACAAAAGGTTCTTAGAACATTGCTTGGTTGGGCTGTAGGCGAGCCAGGACGCTTCGCCACTGCTCGAGTCCTGGAGACGCGAGAGCAGAGAGGACGTGGGACTTTTTTTTGGGGGGGGGCCAGGGCTTTGTGGGACTCGCGAGAGCCCAAGGGGGCTGTGGGCCACGGACAGCGCGGACAACAGTGCACCACGCTCCCGTGGCACGCCGCAAGTGCGGCAGCCGACCGCAGAGACAGTCCTGAAGACAGGACAGACACAAGCTGAGAGGACTGGGGACTTGAAAAGGACGTTCTCGGCGACGCGGGGCCACCGCTGGCGCTCGGCCGGGCACGCCACATGCCGGGGCCGCCGCCGCGCCGGCACGGCACGAGCTCTGCCGCGGCTATCCGTGCCGCTCTCTTGATGGGCCTGCTTCCCCCCCCCACCACCACACGTTGGAGGGGGGAGGAGGTGGACGAGGAGGAGGAGGAGGAGGAGGAGGAGGAAGAGGAGGAGGAGGAGGAGGAGGAGGAGAAGGACGAAGAGGAGGAAGAGGAGGAGGAGGAGGAGGAGGACCAGAGGCTCTTTGAGGCCCCCTCCAGAGGATCTCTGAGGAAGGGGGTCGTGCGTCGCGCCGCGCGCGGCGGGCGCGGGCGCGGCGCGGGCTTCGGCGGAGAAGGACCGCTTTGCCCGCAGTGCCGCAGGAGGAGGACCCCCTCCCCCTCCAACTGATGGTGGTGGTGGTGGTGGAAAACAGGCCCATCATCGCTGCCCTTTCTCGGGTCTGACGTGGCTCGCAGGACATCACGACCGGAGCCCTGGACCCCATCTCATACTGCGCCAATTCTTAGAGCTGGATCCATCTGTGAGGGTCCCTGGGGCCTAAACGTGGGCGAAAACGCCTGGGGCGAACGAGCATGCAACGCCAAGATCTCAGGGCTCTGGCGGCGGCAGTGGGCGGCGGCGAGCGTCCTCCAGGAACGCGTAGCCGCCCGAGGGGCTCGCGGGGCCCCCGGGCCCGCCGCCGAGGCTGCTGCCGGAGGCGCCAAGCGCCTCGTCCAGCGGGCCCCCCCCGTCGCCGCCGCCGCCGTCGTCGCCGCGGGTCGCGAGCGGCGAGCATATCTTTGGGTGACCCAAAAGGGGGTCCAAATGAAAAGGGGTGGTGCAATAGATTTGGGGCAACTGTATTGCAAATGCACTGCGCCGGAAAATTGTATTGCATTGTATTGCAAGTGATGCATTGCACGCGAAAATACAACAATATATGTGCGCCCCGAAATGTATTGCACGACCCAAAAGTACTGCAACCCCACAAATGTGTTGCACCAAATATATATTGCAACACCCCCTTGTCGCTGGACCCATTTTGGGTCAACCCGAATATCTACGGGTGCCTGGGAAGACACAAATCCGCCGACGCTGCCGGCGTGTGGAAGAGCCTGTTGACGCTGTTCCGTTGGACTCGTCGTCGTCGCCGTCGGCATCGCCGTCGCCGTCGTCGTCGCCGTCGCCGTCGCCGCTCCCTCCCCCCCTTTCCTAGTTCCTCCTCCTCCTCAAGCGCGCCAGCCAAAGCGAAAGCGAGATGCCAAAACGAAAGTGAAATTCAACAACGTCGTCACTGATCCGAAAGGAAGCCTCTTCCCGTTCCTCCCTTCCCCGCCAAGGAGTGGGGGCGGTCCCGGGAGTGGTCCTGGGCCTGGGCGTGGTCCCAGGAGGGGTCCCCGGGGGGGTCGGGGCGGGGGTCCCGGGTAAGATTACCATTCCCCCGGGGGCGGGGGCTGGCCTCCAGAAAGTCCGCAGACCAGCCAAGAGTGCTCCCAGAGGCGCCCAAGACCTTCCAAGAGGACCCCGAATCGCCGAACGATCGGTCCAAGACGTTTTGAATGCCTCCAGACGGCCCTTGAAGCCTGCAAGACGCGCCAAGACACATGGAGGAGCACTCCCAAGAGAGCCCAAAAAGCGACAACGCATGAATGTCGCATCGTTTTTCCAAGGATTCTGGCATTATCGCCTTTCTCCGCTTCCCGATGTCCAAAAGGCCCAAGGAGGCCCGACAAAATCACCCCAGGACGCCTCGAAGAGGCTTCCGAACGGCCGATAGGAGTCCCCCGAGGCGGCTCCGAGGACAGTCCCGACTAGGGAACCCAACGTCGACATGTCCAGCCCTCGGCCCCGAGATACCCCCAGGAGGCCCCAAGAGACCCCAGAAAGCGTCACCGAGGGGCCCCAAGGGGCCCCGGGGCCCCAAAGGGGCCCCCATGAAGCCGCAAGAGCCTCCCAAGCAGCCCCCTAGAAGCTCCCAAGAGGCTCCCACGAGGCCCCCAACACTCACCCCCAGAGGCCTCCCAGACCTCTTCCTCCCCATGCTGACACTTCCCCGCCCCCTCCTCGTCACCCTCCTCTCCGTCCTCCTCCTTGTCCTGCTTCCCCGACTCCCATTCTCTTCGTCCTCCTGGTGTTCATTCCGCCCCCGTCCTCCCTCCTGCCCCCGCTTCCCCTCCTCATCCTCCTCCGCATCCTCCCCCCCCACCACCTTCTCCTGCTGCTGCTCCACAGCGTCCGCCGCGTCCTCCAACTCCTCCTGATCTTCATCCTCGTCTTCGTCGTCTTCCTCGTCTTCGTAGTCGTCGTCTTCAGGGTCGACGGCACTGGCCGTAAGGCCTTTGCTATAGATCGACGCAAATTCCCAGCAGGTTCTGGATGTACGTATTCTCCTTCATTTCCAATAATTCCCCACAGTGCCTGGACATCGGCAATTGTTTGCGTCTGTGTCCGTTCTTCCTCACGGACATCTACGTTCACGCTCTCGCGGTCTGGACTCCGTGACGCGATCCCGTGGATGCGTGGGCGAATGGATGCGTCCCACGCGGGACATCTGCGGAGATGGGGTTGCGGCCCCGGGGCCCGGCCCGCGGGGCTGTGATGCGTTTCCCGCCAAAGAGCGGGGACTGGATCGGCTCGAACAGGGAAGTCGGATCGAATGGAAATGCGCGTCGGATCGGACCGCACCGCACGGCGTCGCAGCCGAATCGGATCGGCTGCGACAATGTGCACAGCACCGCCAGGCGAGCACATGGCAGCGTCGGATCAGCAGTGCTGGGCTCGAGCTGGCTGGAGTCGACATCGATCGATCGGATCGAAGTGGACCGTGGGAGGTGGGGGAGCCGTCACCGTCACCCCCGCCGCCGTCGCCGTCGTCGTGCTGACGATGCCGCTCTGCGCCCCCTCCCTCCCTTGCAGCGCCCCCTCCCTCCCTTGCACTGCCTCTCCCGCTCCTCCTCATCCATCCTCCCTCCCTCCCTCCCTCCCATTACTCCCTCCTCCCTCCTCACGCCTTCCTCCCTCTCTCATCCATCCAGTCCTCCCTCCCTCCCTCCCGCGGCACTCCAGCCTGGAGCCGACCAGCACGGCCATGCAATCCGTCCGCCGCGCGGGAGGTGCTCGACAGGGCCGATGAGGACCGACTGGGCAGCTCCTGGAGGCCCCCGACATTGCCGCCGCCGCCGCTGCCGCCGTTGCTGTCGTCGCCGTTGCCGTCGTCGCCGCTGCGGACGATGTCGTCGCTGGCGTCGTCGCTGGCGCCGTCGCCCAAAACCCCTGCAAACGCGGCGTTTGTAAACGGGCCGGTAGCTAAGGGGCCTCTTCAAGCCAGGACGGGGTGACAGGGCATTTACCTCGCACTAGTGCGTGATGAATCGGAGCGACAAAAACGTCGATACATCATCATAACTCTGGACAAAGGGTTTACCTCGCACTTGGGCGCGGCAAATCATTTTTTTGTAAACGCACCCTCAGCTACCGGCCCGTTTACTGACGCCCTTTGTGCAGGGGCTTGGTCGCTACCGATACGTCGCCAGTGAGGCGGGCGAGCTCCACACGTGAAAAGGACATGAAGCGTGAGAGACAAGACACAAGGGTGCCTTTGAGTTTGTGGGGATGGCCTTCCAATCATACCCGAATTCGTCGCCGCAGCCGTTGTCCCCATCGCAGTCGCCGTGGTGGAGCTGCCGCCGCCACCGCCAGGCGCCGAAAGCCGAGCGCCGTCGTCTTCGTCGTCGTCGTCGTCAACATTGTCGTCGTCGTCTTCCTCTCCCTCCTCCAAGTGGGGGGGGGAGCAGGAGTGGTAAGGTAAGAGGCATACTTGAGAGGTGCGGTAGTGCGGTAGGACTAGAGTATAGAGCATTAGAAAGCAGAGATATGGAGAGAGAGAGAGAGAAAGAGAACGAGAGAGAGAGAGAGCGATAAAGATAGATCGATCCAGAAGAGGCCAGAACCTGTCCCACTGTGGTACCAGGTGATTGCGCCGCAGTGCCGCATATCAGGATGGTATCCGTACTTCTTGATGACGAAGAATTGTTTTCCCGATCGTTCCATGGCTCGTTGCTTGCAACCATGCGAATGCAGTTCGCCTCACCGCCTCACCTACATAACAACCGGCATCAACCATGTAAACTTTCTCCGTCCCACCGCTTGTTTGGCCCAAGTTGCAGTCGGCCCCACATCCTCTGGCAATCCAGTCGGTCCCAAGCAATCGCTTTCAATGCCCACTTGTCCCGGGGCACTGCAGCCAGCTTTGCTGCACAGCGCCGACCAGGAGGCGTAGAGGGCGGAGTATCAGGACGAGCACGAAGAGGAGTCAAGTTCGCCAGGTCGCACGAGTCAGTGAGCCCCAACCATTCCCGCGCCCCCTCCAAGAATCAATGGCGGCGCAACTTCGCTTGTGGGCTGTCAGGCGCTTCCACCTGGGGGGCAGCAGGCACTCGCGCACGGTCACGTTTACGACTGCGTGGCAGGAGCGGAACAACACTGGCCCCAAATGGGCGCGAGCGAAAGACCCTGCGTGGCGCTTCTGCGATTGCACCGTTCATCTCTCTCTCTCTCTTTCACTCTCGAACTGCCAGATTCCGCGCTGCGAAGACGACGCGCCGCGCCGAAACCGCATTCCGGCCGCCCTCGCGCGGCCCCGCCACCGCTGCGGCTCCCGTGCGACTCGGCGAGCGAGACACGCGCCCGGCGCCCAAACGGCAACGCCTCTCAGGCAACACGTGCACGGAGCTTGGGCGAAGGCGACAGTTCGCCCGCTCGCGCGTGGCCCCTCGAAAGAAACATGTGCGCAGCCCTCGGGCGAAAGATGCGCGGCGCCGGCGAGAGAACGACGGTTCGACCGTTTGCGCGCGACCCCGCTGTCGACAAGTTGGCGAGCGAAACGGTTGCACCGCTCCCAAGACGGCTAAACTCTCAGGGCAGAGGGGCGTGGCGCCGAAGGCAAGGTCTGGCCGAGATCCTGCTGCCCTCAGCAGATACGCCATGCAGCTGACCGAGGATAACCTTTGGGAGGCTTCGGGGGGCTCGCGGCCTGTGGACCGTCTTTCGTGATCTTGCAGATCTTCTGGGCGTCTGGAGGGCCCCTTCGGACTATCTCGGAGGTGTTCAGGGTGTCCCTTGTGACCCCTGGGGGTCAACAATCTGGGGCAACTCGAACCATCGAAGGGCTGCCGAACTCAATCGAAGCCGTAGCGGGCGCCGCCTTGAGGATCCTTTAGGTCGTATTGTGCCTTGCTGGGAAGCGTGAGGATGTTGCACGACATACGGTACCAATAGGACGACGCGGCTTACTCTTCCGATGGAGGCGACGTCCAGCACGACGTGGCGCTATATAGGCCTGCGTGCAAGAAGATGCCCCCTGTTGTTTTCGGGGAGGCGCCCAGAGAAGGCCGCAGGAAAGCGCACACGGCAGCCACGCGGAGGACACGGGGCAGCCCATAGGGAGACGCCCGAAAACTCCGAAACAGCCTGGGGAAAACAACGTGCTGGGAGTCTCTTTGGATGCCTTAGGGGGATACTCTTGGAGGGCGACTGGGGGGTTTCTGGGGGTGGGTCGCTTCGGTGTTCGGTGGGGGTCTCCTGGTGGTCTCTTGGGACTGTTGGGGCGCACCTCGGGGGCCTTGCCGGGGCTCTTGGCATCTGGGCTCGAAATGTCAAATGAGGTAGGCCTCGAGAAACTAGATTTGATGGATGCTCATTTGTCTCAAGCTGGGCCTCCTACCACCCGATGGGGCAGGATGCTGGGTGAGGGCGGCGGAGGAAGGAGAAAAAAGGATTGAGCATAAGGGAGAGGGGAGGAGGAAACGCATGAGGGAGGCGGAGAGAGGAAAGCGAGAAGGAGATACGAGGAAGAGGGAAGTAACGACGCAGCGGGGGGGAGGGAACAAGAGAGGAAGGAGAAAGCTGTGGAACGGGAGACGGAGGGGAACCAAGAAAAGGAGAGAGAGAAAGAGAAAGAGAGAGAGATACAAAAAAACATACAACGAAGGATGTAGGAAACGGAAGCGCACTCTGGGGCGTGCCAAAGCCTGGGACAGGAGGGGACGGAGGGGATGGGCGACTTGAAAAAAAGGAACCCAAGATCGCCCCAAGAGGCCTCTAAGAGTCCCCCAAGAGCTCGGGGGAAGCTCTTGAGAGGCCGATCCCATTGCAAAAACATTGCAATTGTTGTGTTCTCGCATTTGACACGCTTCCGAGGCTTGCCCATGCACCCCAAGAGCGCTCCAAGACGCCCCCAAGATGCGTTCCGAGCGGCTCTTTGGGGCATGTAAAAGCTCTCCTGGGGGCATCGTGGGAGCTCTTGAGGTCCTCTCGGGGCCCTCTTCAGCGCTGGATGTCTCAGGGGCGGCTCCTGCGAGCTCGTTGGGGCCTGTTCGGAGCGTCTTTGGGGCCTCGGTGGTGCCCGTCCGGGCGTCATGGGAGCCTCTTGTGGCCTCTGGGGCCACTTCGCGCCTCTTGGGGGCCTCTTGGAACTCTCTTGGTAGGCTTGTGCAAGCCTCGGAAGCGTGTCGGAGGCGGAAGTACGAGAAAACAGAAACTCATTGATAGACCATATGGTTGTTCAATGATTTTGGCATCTTGAGGGCTTCAGCAGAACAATTGGGGGACTGTTGAAACATGCTTGGGGCGATGGGTGCTCTGAGGGGCCTCCAGAGCCGTCGGGGCGCCAGCTTGGACAACCTTGAAGCACTCTTGGGCTGCCTCGGGGGCGTCCTGGGCCGTCTTCAAGCTCTCCCTGGGCTCTCTTGGACCCAGGAAGTTGCCGGTAGCGGATTGGGCGGAGCCCTGGGGGTGGGGGGGGCTTTTAATCAAACATATGTGTTTGTGTATATATATATATAGATATTGATATATTGATAGATTGATATGTGCATCTATCTATATATATGTTGATACATTGATATGTGCATATCTTTATATGTACATGTATATCTATACGGACACACACACAGCACTCAATCCTGGCATGTGTGTTCCTTCCGCGCGTTCTCCTTCTCCTTCTTTCCTTCATCCTTGTACCCCTTAGGATTCAAATGAGGTTTCAACAGGAAATAGCAAGGACAAAGGGGAGGAATGATTCAATTATGATTGGACAGGGTTCAAAAGGGATTCATTCAATAGGAAAGAGCGAGGGGAAGATGGAGGGAGCATTCGATTAGAAATGAATGGCAGTCGAATAGGAACTGAATAGGAAATGGAGAGGAGGAGGAGGTGGGGAGGATTCCGATGAATGTGAATGGGATTCAAAGGGGAGCCCAAATACGAAAGGAAAGGGAAGAAGACGGGACAGGGAGGAGGAGGAGGGGGAGGAGCAAGAATTCGATTCTGATTCAACTGGGTAAGATAAGATGCAAATAAGGATGCAATAGGAAAGGGCAAGGAGGAGGAGGGGGAGGGAGGATTGCATTGGATTTGAATGGGTTTCCTACAGGACCCCGATAGAATCAGCCTGGCGAAGGGCCCAACCCGATACAGTTGTGGGTACCGTCCTTGTGAATACTGTGGTCGGTGGATCTTCTTACAAGGCCACGAAACGCGTCTGTGTGCCGAAACGTGGCGGGACCGTCATGCGGGCGCTGCTACTGGGGCCGTAGGTTGATCTCCCTAAGGGGCCACGACACGTGTGAGGGGTTTGCAGAAATGGAAAGTTAAACCGCATGCGAGCTCTGCATCTGGAGCCGTCGGTGGAGCCCCCTTTGGGCCATGAAGCGTGTGAGGGGTGCACCGAAATTGGGGTGGAACCGCATGCGGGGGCGCTGCTCCTGGAGCCTTAGGTCGAGCTCCCTATGGGGCCACGAAACGTGCAGGGGATTCGCCGAGATGAAGGTGGAACCGCATGCGGGCGCTGCCACTGGGGCCTTAGGTGGAGTTCCCTATGGTGCCACGAAACGTGTGAGTGGTATGCTGAAATTGAGGGTGGAACCGCATGCGGGCGCTGCCACTGGGGCCTGCGGTGGAGCTCCCTATGAGGCCACGAAACGTGTGAGGGGTGCACCGAAATGACCGAAATGGGGGAGGTGGAATCACGTGTGGGCGCTGCCACTGGGGCCTTAGGTGGACTTTCCCATTGGGCCACGAAACGTGTGAAGGGTACACCGAAATGGGGGGAGGGTGGAACTGCATGCGGGCGCTGCCACTGTGGCCTTACGT